TAGTTATGCATGATCCTTTCTACACTTCCTGAATAGATTGATTACATTAAATCAAGATTATGTAATAGTTGTATTCTACATTACGTGATGTAAATAATTAAACTTTTCTTATTTCAATATCTAAAAGGAGAAAAAAAACTAAAAAAAAATTTTGATCATGATAATGAACTTGATAAAACAAAAAAAAACAAAAATTTTTTTCCTTTTTTTCTCTTTTCTTTTTTTCTTTTTCTTTTTTAAATTTGTTACTTATAAAGAAATTGAATGAATCAATTTATTGATTTCTTTTTAATTGAATGATTGATCAATTATGAGTTCAGAAAGGGGGGTTTTGTGAAGATTTCAATATTTTTTTCATCGTTGAAATCATGAGTCAATTGAAGCTAGGCCATCATGGAAAATCTGAAAGCACTGGACGGCTGTTTCGTTCTATTATGAGACTTCTAAGCACTGTGCATCCACGATCACACACTCACGAGATTCAAATCCACGACCGACCAGTCTTGCGCCAGAGCACTCAACCGATAGACCACTGAGCTGGCATCCAACAGTGGTAATGGTGAACGGTTGTTCAAAATCTTGGATTGATTGAAGTTAGACATTAACACTATTGAATGCTGGCTCAGTTGTCTATCTTTTAATTGCTCTGGCGTGAGACTGGTAGGTCCTAGGTTCGGATCTCGCGAGTGCGGGATCGTGAATGTGCACTGCTGAGTAATACCATAATAGGAGGGAAGGGCCATCCAATGCTTCCAGATTTTTTATGATGGTCTAGCTTCAATTGACTCATGGTTTCAACTATGAAGATTATTAGTTGTGGTTTTTTGTTGTTGTCATATCTTAATGAAAATACTGCATAGTAATTAATGAGATCTATTTTTTTGAAGCAATGACATTCAGATCTTCTTATTGTATAACGATTCAGTAACTAAACCATTCATATTCATGTACTCCTCATTATAAGCTTTATTTTGACCCATAGATTATTATTATTATTGTTATTATTATTATTATTATTATACAATTTACCATTCTTAAGTTATGCTCAGTCTATTAATTACGGTCTCCCACATTCACACTCACATTTGGCTGAACCTTGTACAAATGTTATCGCCTATTTTCTGGTGTGATGTGGTCTGTTCGGTTTGTATATAAACTCAGTATTATTGAATTACATGATTGATATTGCGGAGGCTGATATTGGTGCTCTTGACTGAAAAAGCAGTCAAGGGTAGTCAAGAAGATAGACCGAAAAGGAGTGTAGACTGCTCGTACGGATTTATTCGTTATTGGTCTGATCAATACATCACTGTACTATAAATGACTGAACACCGATAATCACAACACGCTATGCTGACTAGTATAAGGGATGATTGAAAGAGAGTTAGGGGCGGCCAAACCAAAACGTGGCATCAGTCATTCAAATCACTAACTTCTAGTCTGAGCCATGTTGGTAGATACAGAATACTTGGTTGTGGTCCGTTTGACTATCGTAATCAATGGTTGGAGACTGTGTGTGACATGGTTCAGAATCGATTACAATGGCGTAGGTGTATACACTTTTATCTTCCCTTAAACCTTGAGATTAAATTTGCTTCATATCGGTCTTTCTTCCCATACTATATCCTTATATTCGACCTCTCTTTTATACAATACCATCACTAAATGAACTACTTCTATGAATCCGATGTTCATCTTATTGTGCTAACGACGTATTGCAACTTGGACCGTTGCATATATGTGCCTGGTCCTACGTTGCAGCTGATTGACTAACTGACTGACTGATACATGAATAGGCCACACATGATACAAGTTATTGGTTTTCAAATATATATTTCAATATTCATTAGCTTTAAGGTCATCCTATTGTTGACCTTGATATGAATTTCAAATTCAAGTGAATATTGAAAATATTAATGATTGAAGAGGTGGTTTTGTTCATTTAAATGATGGATATATATATATAACACTTAACTTATACTTTACCAAGGTCTAGTTTGATGAAGTAGTTTTGAATGAATTTGATATATGGTACTTATCAAAATTCACATTTATAAACAGTCAAACAGTTTAAACAAGTTCTATTACTTGAATTCATGAGTCAATTAAGGTTAGATCATCATGGAAAACCTAAAAGCAATAAAATGATCGTTTCGTCCTAATGTAGGGCTCCTCAGAAGTGCGCACGTGGGATTCGAATCCAGGACATTCGGTCTCATGTATGAGCGCTTAGATTCTAGACTACTGAGCCAGCTAGTATCCAACACTGTTAACTTTTATTTTGTTATATTTAGTAATACTGGGATACTGGAATTCGAATCCAGGACATTCGATCTCATTATAGCATCTCACATGCAATTCATTTTGTCTAAATCTAATTCCGTTAAGCTTTTTTGTTAACTTATTTAATGGACAGTCATTCGTACAACAACAACAAGAACCTATCTATACTATTGTACCTTTATTATGTACGCTTGAGCATTGCTTACTGCCTACGTTTGTATTCATTCTGCTAGCCTTACTATTATTCACTTAATTGGTTCGATGATTCATGCATTTCTATTTGTATATATATATGTATATGCTAATCTCGTTCACTGTACTGCACGGCACTATACTGCACTGTACTGTACTCGCTTACTTGGCCGATTGATCTCACTCGCCTGCTTTACGACAGTACACTTTCATGTTTGCTTAACGTGCCTGTAATTTTGGATATCTGTGTATGATCTAATAATAAACGCAATCAACTCTTCATATACGCCTTGTGATTTACACACCATTAAGGCGTTATCGAGTAACGGTTATCAGGACGAACAATATACAAAGTTTAAGAATAACATCGAATATCGACCACCACATTGTGTTTGAGCGCTTAGACTCTAAACTAACGGATCAGCTGGTATCCAACAGTGTTAACGTCTATTCTGTTATATTTAGTAATACTGTGATAAAATGGTGGTTGGAGGTGGTTAACAGAAAACCCTGGACACGGGATTTGTGCTACTTGGCACTCGTCAGCAAGGTGTACCTGTGATCTTGAGAGAACTGGTGCTCCCTGATGGATTCGATCCCGTGTCACTCAACTTCACAGTCAGAGACGTTACCACTGAGCTACTCGGGCCGCGACCGACCTTTTGTAGGACTGAGATATCATCAAAATGGATTAATCACTGGGTGGTGATCAATGTCATGCTTATCAAGTCCTTCTTAGTGCTGATCGTGTGTTATCGATCAAGTAATATTGTAATGTAATACTGTTCAATGTTCATTTTGTATTATTCAGATTACTCTAGTGTTACAAAGATATCATTGTATGAAATAAATTCTGATGTTTCATGAGATGTTTAAAGTGGAAAATTCGTGGAAACAAACAAACAAACGAACTCCATGTTTAAATTAAATCTGAGAGTCCTTTTGTTTAAACACTTGATAAGTCATTTTGTGGTATTTGCTACTGATATCGATAGATATGAGTAGTGTTGTAGTGAGAATGAGAACACAGATGGGGACAAGGGAATGTATTTAAACACAAATTGCAGACAATCTCACTAAAATCTGACAACCATACAGTAAACAGTTAATTTCCAAAATAACAATCAATTGCCGCAATCTTCACTGTTCCTCCTGCAAATATCAGTCCATCTTCTCTGATTTCATAGTTTCCTGCATTTTTATAACGATTGCGCTTTGTTCCTATTCTTTCCTTATCGATCTTCTGTCAAAATACATTCTATTTCTGACCATCTTCATATACTACTTATATGGATATAAGTAACCCACACCACAGTATGTATCAACAGTCAAAAGTGAAATGTCTAAGTGGCAGAAGGTTAAGAAGATCGTAGAGAAGAGAAAGAGAACAAGAACAGATAATGATTGATGTGGAAAAGAAGGAACAATGAAGTCTGAGACGATTATTGGATATTTTGCGAATGATTTGTTTACTACATGGTTCTACGATTCTACTAAGTGATTATGCAATCTTGTGTTAGAATAAGTTTGATTGTCCCCATTCGTGTTCTCGTTCACTACAGTATCAAAATTATGTATGAGATCATAATACTTCAGATATGTTTTTTTTCGGGTGTTTTGTGGAGATTCTAGTAGTTTAATAGTTGATTTCATGCGTCACTTAAAGCTAGATCATCATGGCAATCCTGGAAGCATTGGACAGCTGTTTCGTCCATTAGTATAAGCTATATTACTATGTAGAGTTGAAGGTTTCATATGAAACTGTAGGTTCGCTGCTGATATTGTGGATGGTTTGGCATTACTTTAGCAAGCTTTTCTGACTGTTCATGTACCAAATTGGTTTGCTGGTTAATCGATTTCATTCATACTATTGGTTGCTTTTCAGTGTTTTCAAGGGGCATTGCCATTGAAACACTTTAAGGCATGTCGCCATTGCTAACAGTAATGAGTTTGACTGTCATGTAAGCGTAATAGGTCAACTTTGGCCTGTTCATGCTGTGCATAATTGACTTACGTGATCATTGATCGGAATTATTATACACCTGATGTGAATGTGTATATGAATGATGTGAATGGTCCACCAGTGTGCTTGGTACCTGTGTTTTTGCACCAAAGGATTGAGCTGTACTATTAAAATTGTAGCGTTAAAGCCTGTATGTTGTCTGGTTTCCCTGCAAGTGGGATCAAACTATACTGTTCGAGTTAAGCCTGGGCGGTGTCTCACTCTCCTGTTTAGATGGGATTGAGCTGTACTATTTGGCTTGTCTGAATGGTATCCGGTTCTCCTGAAAACCAATGTAAAATTACCCTAGCCCACAAAGGTATATTATATAATATATACATTAATTGGATCATGATGTTTCGTGCTTTCCAAAATATTTGAGTAAAGTATCAACATTTTGTTGTCAACCTAGAAGCTTAGATCCGAACAATTGACACTCATTACGATCGATTTAAGCTGATAATGTTTTCCCTTATCATTCTCTATCCTATTACCTTATCCATTTCATTTCTTCCCTTCCTAGGCAATTACATCCATTCAAACTATTGTACATATCATTTTCCTATTATAAAACACTTCATCAATTATGAAATTTCATTCTTATCTAATCTCTTTATTCGGAATTATTTTACTACTTAAATCATTTATAAGTAGTTTTCAAATTCCAACTGTGATTTATAATCTTGCTGATGAAACGCCTACTGGTTCATTAATTGGTAATATAGCAGAGAATTTATCACCGGACTATGTACAAAAATATACTTTCCTATTAATCTCTTCCATAAAATTTCAATATATAAGTGATTTCTTTAAAATAACCCCAAATGGTGATCTAATCACATTACGTAATATTGATCGTGATGATACTAATGATATATGTGGTCCATTAGATTGTTGTTCATCCGTAGTATGTCAAATTGAAGCCAATGTAATCCTCACTAGACAATGGGATACCACATGGAAACAAGATTACCATCCCCCTAAACATTCGTTGGTCAAAAATAATCACAATCCTGATGAGGAAGAGTACAGACTAAACTCGGTCAAGCTGAATGTATCCAATCAAAAAAATATCATACGATTATATATACGAATTAATGATGCTAATGATAATCCACCACGTTTTATGTCAACGAACCTCATGAAATATGATCCATCAAATGAATCACATCAATTATTGAATAGACCATTTATTATTTATATTCGAGAAGGTGATACCAGTGGATTTGAAGGTCTCCCAATTGCTTCTGATGCTGATTCCGAAGTCAATGGTATAGTAATGTACAAATTGATTGAACAAACAAGTAGCGGTGATCCTGTTAAAGAACCATGTCTGAATATCAGTATGACCTATAGTCATGGGAATTCAATCAGTTCACATCATTTAAATCCAAAATTAATACTTCTTAGATCATTAGATTATGAACGTCTAGATGATCGTGAAATCTATGCTACATTCTATGCAATTGATGGTGGTGATCCATCATTAACTGGTTCATTATCAATAATAGTACGATTATTAGATATGAATGATAATCCACCTATTATTCAACAATATACAGCAACAGAACAGTTGATTACATTACCAGAGAATACAACTATGGATGATAAACCATTTTTCATTGTGAATGCAACCGATGCGGATTCCGGGGAGAATGGTCGACTGACTTATACATTTAGTCCATTAGCGAATAGTTTAGTTCCAGTCAAGTTCAATATTGATTCAAGAAATGGTGCTATTACTATTCGTGAACCATTAGATTATGAAATTTATTCGGAACGTCAATTTATATTACCGATTGTCGTGAAAGATGCTGGTAGTCCACAACTATCAAGTACTACAACAATCTATGTTCAGATTAAAGATATTAATGATAATATACCAACATTGGTTGTACAAGAGAATATGACTGTACCTGAAGAACAAATGTTTACAAAACCAATTGTTCGGTTTTATGTTCGAGATGAAGATGAAGTATCACATGGTAAAGTAAGTTATGGTATAGAAGTTTGAAATGTTAACTAATTAAAATATACATGTTTCGTCCTATTGTGGAAATCCTCACCGTTAGATGCCGGCTATCTCAGTGGTCTATCGATTAAGTGCTCTGGCACGAAACTGGTCGGGTCCTGGTTTCGAATGTCGCTCGCGAGTGGGGGATCGTAGGTGTGCACTGCCACTGAGGAGTATTATAATTGGAAGAAATGACCATCCAGTGCTTCCAGGTTTTCCATGGTGGTCTAACTTCAATTGATTCACGTTTTCAACTAGGAATTTAATAAGACATCTATCACTGGAAAAAGGTTAATTGTGTATTGGATAAATGCTTTTTACCTAATTGTAGCAGGGATTCATGATAGAAATCTTGTGAAGAAGAATTTTCAGAACATGTAAGATAAGGTGTTTACACTTATTCTTAAAACTTAAAAGTTAATTCAGTCAGAGGCTACGACGTATACTTGTAAATGGAAGATTAAGACGCTAATATTAAGTTACCACACATCAAGGACATTTCATAGAGTTCTTACAAATAATGTGAAGGTATGTATCTTGGAGTTGTTGTTCACTCCGGGACTCGAACCACAGTATCGTTCGCTTCCATCTAGTTACTGATTCCTGATAACCACTAGCTTGTGCAAAATGAGGTGAAGTTTAAAATCACTTGGTATTGTAGTTTACTTGAATCTTCCCATTGATATTTAAGGCTATAATTGATCAGTCCCTTATTAGCATGTTTGCATCATGTGAGGACTGCCTCGAAATCGCCTGAAGTCACAAGCTTTGTATGCAACGACACCTCAAAGATAATGAATGAGTCGATCAATCAATGGACCAATACCAGTAATGTTTTTTATTTTACGACCAGGAAAAAAACAATAAATTTCTTTTCATTTCATCATTAATACTTCCTTACGTACGTCTGTTAACCCTCCTCGAGAAGCACGGGCCAACCACCAGCATTCTTCATCCAACCCTGTTCTCCATAATCCTTTCAAGTTGGTATTCATCCTTTACATATCTGCTTACGACTCCCGACGTAATGTGTGCTTTGGCCTTCCTCTTTTCCATTTCATTTCAGGATTCCAAGTTAGTGCTTGTTTCGTGATGTAGTTTGATGATTTCCGTAATGTATGTCCTATCCTTTTTCAATGTCTTTTCCTAATTTCCTCTTCAATTGGTAGGTGGTTTGTCCACTCCCACAGTAGGCTGTCGCTAATGGTATCCGGTTAAAGGATATTAAGTATCTTACGTCGACAACTGTTCGTAAATACTCGTACTATTTTGATGATGGTTAGGTTAGTTCTCCCCGTTCAGCTCCATACAGTGGGACTAACTGTGTTGACATTCGTATAGAAGATTCTCACTTTGATATTAGTTGACAGGTGTTTTGAGTTCCATACGTACTTCAACTGTAGGAATGCTATACTTGCTTTGCTAATCCTCGCCATTACGCCTGCATCTGACCCTCCTTGTTCATGGATGACATTATGCAGATACGTGGAACTTTCCATCTCTTTCAGGTTTTCTTCATCAGGCGTGATTGGGTTGGTATTCTTCGTAGTGTGACCAGAGTACAGAAGCATCTCTTCCATACCTTACGTTTGGCATACAGCTTGAGCCCAATAAGTTTCACTTATTCCAAGAACCGTCAAGTTGTATCTCCTCATTTTCGCAGTTATTTGATTGGTCCTCCCGGTCTCCTACATTATCCGAACATTCCATATACCTATATTAATTGTTCCCCTGGTTGTTAGAATAGCCATCGGTACAGTGACTTCCGGAGAAATATTGACTTTCACTATGATTCATCATAATTCTTCCTTCAACTCGAAGGACAGAATTTAAATGCACGACCTCGCCTTTCCAGATTCGAATTCAGGACCTACCAGTCTCGCGCCAGAGCACTTAACCTCCAGACCACTGAGCTGGCCGGAATCCAACGATGTTAATGTCTAACTCCGACCAATCCACGAAGTTTGAGAAACCGTTCACCAATTGTCTTCAGTGAGTTGTTATCTCTACAACAGACTTGGTAGGACTCCACTGGTTACTGTTCCCACTAGAACTTAAGGAAATATCACTTGAAGTCAGTCACTAGTGAGTATATGAACATTATCAGAAGGAAGGTTTTTTGTGGAGATTTAGTATTTTCATAGTTGAAACCATGAGTCGATTGAAGCTAGACCACTATGGAAAACCTAGAAGCACTGGACAGCCGTTTCGTCCTATTATGGGACAATCCCGTCTCGCGAGAGAGATTCGAATCCAGGACCTGACCACTCTCGTGCCAGAGCACTTAACCGATAGACCGATAGACGAAACAGCCATCCAATGCTTCTAGGATTTCCATAGTGTTCTAGCTTCAATGGACTCATGATTTCAACTATGAAAAAAAAGTTTTCTTTTAATTTTTTTTTCTTTTTTTCATGGTTGCGAAGTAAAACAAAATTGATTAAGAAAAATAAACAAAAAAGAAAAAATAAAGAATGATAAAAAGGAAGAAGAAGTAAAGAGCAGGAGGGAGGGATTGTGTGTGAAATTCTTTCATTTTCTTTTCCTTTGTTATCAACAAAATCTTACTAAGGCTGTTTACTTACCTTGTTTGTTTACAAAAGTTTACTCAGTTATTTACTTTGTATGGTTACACTTTGTTTATTTTTTTGTGGAATTCCGTTTGTTTTTTTTCTAAAATCTAAGGAGAATAAAACAACAACATGAATGAAAATTGAAAATTAGTGTCTATATGGTAAAGGGGGGGGTGGATGGTGATTGTGAGGAGTTAAGTGATCCATTAAAGTTGAGAATGAAGGAATAGATGAAAGAGTTGACATCAAAACGATTGACATTTTCGTGTATCTAATGAATTCATTTGGGGGGTGGGGTGAGGTGAATTGAGGTGGGGAGACAGAATGATAAAGTATTAGAGATGGTGGGGGGAGGGGGTAAGGAAAGATAAAAGAAGAATTTTTTATGAATTAATTCTTCAAATAGAAAACATATACTTACTATTAATTATTTATCCAAAATAATAAACATTGATCAATGTGCCACCTAGGAAAATAAGGAGATAAGTTTGATCTAAAGAAACTGACATATTCGCATAAATTGGTTGCTTAGATCATACTGCAGATACATTCAGCTGACGAGTTTTGAATTGAACGAAAAGAGCATCCTAGATGCTACTGCTGCCCATCATCAAATTCTACTTATAATTACTTACTTACGCCTGTTACTACCAATCGAGCATAGGTCACCGATCAGCATTCTCCGACCCATTCTGTCCTGGGCCTTCCTTTCTAGTTCTATCCAGCTTTTGTTCATTCTCTTCATATCTGTCTCCATTTCTCGGAGTAATGTGTTCTTTAGTCTTCCTCTTCTCCTTTGAAATTCAGGATTCCATGTGAAGGCTTGTCTTGTGACGCAATTAGGTGATTTCCTCAAAGTGTGCCCAATCCACTTCCAGCGTTTCTTCCTGATTTCTTCCTCCACTAGAATCTGATTTGTTCTCTCCCACAGTAACTTGTTGCTGATAGTGTCTGACCAATGGATCCGAAGTATTTTGTGTAGACAACTGTTAATAAACACTTGTATCTTTTGGATGATGGTTTTAGTAGTTCTACACTTCTCCGCCCCATATAGTAGAACTGTCTTGAAATTTGTATTGAAAATTCTAACCTTGGTGGTGGTTGACAATTGTTTTGAGTTCCAGATGTTCTTCAGTTGTAAATATGCTGCACTTTACTTACTTACTTATTCCTGTTACTCCTAATGGGGCATAGACCGCCGACCAGCATTAATTTTTTTCTGGTTAGCTTTTTTCAGCGAGTTGGTTTTCTAAGGGATGGGGTCGCTAATTTGATGCCCAACCCTCCACCTTGACCCGGGCTTGGGAAAGGCAGTAGCCCCCGGAGGAGCTACAGGCGGAGTTATGCTGCACTTACATAATTTCAACTTATGAGATAAATTTCTCTTAAAATAACATAACGTAAAAAAAATTCTAAGAAACATTAGTTCTAACTTTAGTTCAAATCAAAACTTTTCAACGACTAAAATGAATTCGCTTATTATGTCAATCCTCTTCAGTTGATGGCGTTCTAGGAACAATAGTTTTGTTTGCAAAGATGAATAGTGACTAGCAGTGGAATCCAAGACGCGTGTTTCGTCCTATTTGGCACTCGTCAGCTGGATGTACCTGCATCTCAGAGTTGATATTCATTCTGTTCACCAAATCTTTGCTTACAATCCTTGTGAATCATGGCTATATCGAGGCAATACGCACATTTTGCACATATACCAATTAGAGAATGACCAGTTGCAGTCCTAACACATCTATAAGAAGATTCAAACAAACAATACTAAATGAATAGTATTGATTATTCAAAGCATAGAAAGTATACATTCATTCCATCTTTTATTATATAGAGATTCGTGGGGATCGCAAATCTTTCATAGTTTTAATTATAAACTGGCATTGGCTAGACCATCATTAAAAACCTGAAAGCACCAGATGCTCGTTACGTCCCGGTATAGAACTCCTCAGCTATGTACATTTGAGACTCTGCATCTAAGAATCGCATTCAAGATCTTCGGTCTTGTGTGCGAATGTTTAAATTCTATTACCGAAGGCAGTAGATGATACTTGTGCAACGTTTTGATTTGATTACAGTTATACATGCATACCATTAGGTTCTCATTCAATGGTGTAGAGGTTGAACATTTACTTGCTATATTGAAGGTTGAGGATTCGATTCCCTGACGCCTGGTTGTTAATGGTCACTATTAAGGAGTGAAGCTTATTGACATACAGTTAGCACTAAAGACGACAAAAACAGGATACAGACTACAATTATCTAGTAAATGATCAGTGCAAACTTTTTAATCATACTGTCAATTAGTTTAATAATAGTGTTTTTAAATAGGACATATTTCCGATCCGTTGGTCAGACACTATCAGCAACAAGTTACTGTGAGAGACAACGAACCAGATT